CCCCCCCTTGCTCCGCCCCCCCCCCTCCCTCCCTCCCCGCCTCCTCCCTCCTTTCTCCCTCCTCCGTCCCGTCGCGCCTCCCCTGGCCCTCCTCGCCTCTCGCCGCGGAACGGCTCCCGGCGAGGTGGAGTACCACCCCGGCTCCATCTTTTGTTGGTCGCTGATGCTCCCCAAGGCGGGGGGGGGCCCTGGGGGCGGCCGTAGGCGGGGGCGCCTGGCCTCCTCTTCTCCTTCCTCCTTCTCCTCCTGCCCGGGCCCTCGGATGGACTCGATGTTCGCCTGCTCGAGGTGTGGAGGTCTTGGCGCAGACCGCGTCCGCTCGACTGGCACGCCAGCCTCCCGCACGTACGGTGCTCGAGTGCCGGAAGGCTCTCGAGAAAGGATGGGCTCCACGCCACGCGAAGCTGGCAAAGGAGGTTGAAGTCCCGCGGTGATCGTGGAGGGAGCGCGCAGCTGCCGCCGCCGCCGCCGCCGCCTCATCCTCATCCTCCTCCTTATCCTTCTCCTATTCCTTCTCCTCCTCCTCCGCCGCCTTCTCCTCCTCCTCCTCCTCCTCCTCCTCCTCGTCCTCCTCCTCCTACTATTCCTGGCCCATCGGGGAACCGCGTTCAAAATGGGGATATCGCCAAATCGCCGCGCCACATACGTTGTAAAAGCTGGCAAAGGCTACAATCGCTGAGCAAACTTGCAACAGATACAGGGATGGAGTTCGGTTAATGTTTGAATATACGGGGTTATCGCCTTATCGCCGTGCACATTGATTTCAAAACTTGCTTCTCAGGTCCCCTGATGGAGGGGACTCTATTCAAAATGGGGTTCTCGCCCTAATGCCGCGCACATTCGTTTTGAAAGCGTGCGACAGTTGCAGGGATGGGGAACGGTTCCTTGCGAAAGCTAGCTGTAGCTTGAGACGTCCTCAACATTCAACATCTGTAACAGCTGCACGGGCGGATGGCGGGTTCTCGTCAAAATGATACAATCGGCCCATGATTCTTCAACGTTCTGACAAAAAACTATAGGCTAACGCCACATCCGCCGACCCCTATATAAACGATTGCGCCTCCAGGACTGCATTTCACGAGGCTTGTCCGAATCATGACACCGCGCTCGACATCGTTCCTGTCGCTTCGTTGTTGTTATGGTACCTCTTGGTGCTCTTTTGTGGCCTTTAAGTGGCATCTTGGCCTGTCTGCAGGCCATATCTGGCCGCCTCGAGGCATCTTGGGCCAAGTGTTGGGGCCTCTTGGGGGCTTCCCGGGGGCTTCTTGGAGGCCTTGGAGGTTCTCTTGGGGGTCCCTCAGGGCCTCTTGGGGTGTTCTTGGGGCAGGCTGGGGGCGTCTTGGGGCCGAAAGCTTGAAAAGATGCCCTCTGGACTCCCTCTTGGAGCCGTCTGGGGGCCCTCTTGGGCTGTCTTGGGGGCTTCGTGGGCTGTTTTTGGACCCTCTTCGACCCCTCTTGGGGGCCCCTTCGACTGTCCGGGGGCGATCTTGAAGGTTTCTTTGCACGTCTTGGACGTTGTGAAAGCCGAAAAGGCGAGTATGCGAGAAATGCTGTTTTTTTCCCCAGGGAATGGGACGATGTTTGTTTCTTCGGACCCTCTTTGGACGCATCTTGGGGGCCTTTTGGGGGCAGCTTCGGAGGCCGTCTGGAGGCCATCGTGGGCGTCAAGGAGCGATTCTTCGGCGAATCGTGGCCCACTGGGGCCGTCTGGGGGGCGTTTTGGTGCCTCCGTGTCCCCTTTTGAAGCCCTCCGCTCCCCCGTGGCGCGTTCGGTCCGGGGGGTCGGGCTCGGCCAGTGGGGGGGTCAAATTGCCGGTTTGGGGTCCCTGGGGGGGGATTACAGGGGGGATAGTCTCACATGCTTAGGGACCCACAAGGGGTCGGCGGATATAAAACGTCATGCAAAGTCAGGCTAGCCAGACGAGCCGGCTCGACCCACATCTTGGCGGCCGGCCAAGCGGTCACAGCCGCGGGCCGCCGCATAGGACGTGCTACAAAATAAATGCAATATTTACGATTCACTTGAGACTCCTTCAGGGAACTCCTCGCCGCACAAAGTATGTACGCAGATGGGGCGCTCGTTTATTCAAACGATGATATCGCCGGACACCTCGTTGAACTGTATGGTCTTACCTTTCCGCATTTTTGTCCGCAGAGTTCTTCTCTACCCCCCTCGTCGTCGTGGGCTTTCTCCTTATCTGCTTTCTCGTCAGCGTCTGCGTCGTCGCCCTTCTTCACATCCTTCCCTTTGCCTCCATGTCCTCCTGTCCTCCCATTTCTATCTTGTCCTGCTCGTCATCCTCTCCCTTCCCTCATCCATTCCTGCTCGTCCTTGTGACATCACTGCCCCTTCTCAGTTGTTCGTTATCATTGTTACTTCTCTCTGGTCGTTAATGTTGCATCCCTGTTTCGCTATTCATCCAGGTTCTTACTCCTCTCCCTCTTGCGCCTCCTTCCCATCTCTCGCGCTCCATCGCTGACTCCTCCTCCCCATCATAATCGAGCCGAGCGCCCATCATTGTCTAAGTACCCTTGTCCCCAGCCCAGCAGTCGAGGCCTCTGGAGACTTCCGGAGGCTTCAAGAGGTACGGAAATATAACAGCATCCGTAATTCCACTTGCTTATCAGAACCGCGCGCTGTGGTTTTACTGCGGTGCAGCCATCTGGGGGGACAAATCCTGCCTATTTGGGCACCCTCACTCACTGTTGCTTCACATCAACATTTCAGTCCAATTGCGTATCAGATCGGTAGTCCATCCGCCCACAATGGGGCTTCACACCGTTGTTCAAACATGTGGGAGCCACTGCAGCTAGGCGTCACCCTCAGACAGGGACCTCAGGAGCCACTGCAGGAAGGGAGATCATTAAGTCCCTTCTGAACACAGGGGCCAGCCACCCGTAAGGCTGTGCATTCCGCCGGTATCCTCCTCCTCCTCCTTCTTCTCCTCCTCCCTCAACTCTTCGCCAGTCACTGCCTCCGCCGCCGTCGCCGCCGTCGTCGTCTTCGGCGCCGTCGCCATCCGACGACAGCGGCGACGGCGGCAGCGGCGGCGGCGGCGGCGACGACGTCGACGACGACGACCACGACGACCACGACGACGACGACGACGACGACGACGACGACGACGACGACGACGACGACGACGAGAACCGCGACGACCACGGCGGCGGACATCCGCGGCGACGGCGGGGGGGGCGGGGCTGCTCTTCGGCGCGGGGGAGGGCTACGAGCGCCACCTGCTCGCGGCGCAGTACCGGGAGCGGGTGAGCATCTTCGCGTGCGACCAGGCGCGGATGGAGGGGGTGTCTGCGGATGGCCCCCTCTCCCGTGGCGGCTGCCTTCCTGGCTCCCATCCGAGGAGGCAGGGATATTGGCATCCCTCCTCCTCCTCCTCCCCTCCTCCTCCTCCTCCTCCTCCTCCTCCTCCTCCTCCTCTTCTTCCTCCTCCTCCTCCTCCTCCTCCTCCTGCTCCTCTTCCTCCTCCTCCCCCTCCCCCGGTTCCGCTTCTTGAGGCGTCCCAGGGCCGTCCTGGAGGACCCTGGCCGCATCGGCGGGGCTCGCCACAGAGTCGTCATCGGAACGCTGCCCAGGACATGTCGGGGGGTGGGGGGGAATAACTCGCGATATCGGCTTGCATCTGTTTGCGACCCTTTTCTTCCTCTGCCTCCTCATGGCATTTCTCCCCTCCTCTCCTTTCTTCCCCTCCTCTCCTCCTGGCCTTCGTCCATCCTCCGTCCTGTTCCTTTCTCGTCTCCTCCTCTTCTTCCTCCTCCTCCTCCTCCTCCTCCTCCTCCTCCTGCTCTCTTCCCTCCTCCTCCTCCTCATCTCTCCTCCTCCTCCTCCTCCTCCTCCTCCTCCTCTCCCCCTTTCTCCTCCTCCTCCTCCTCCTCCTCCTCCTCCTCCACCCCTCCTCCTCCTGCTCCTCCTCCTCCTCCTGGTCCTCGTCTCTCCCGTGTCGTTCCCCTCCCTTCGCCATCTGACACGATCAGCGTCTTCATCCTGATCGCTCCGTGCCGTGGAGCCGAAGCCCCCTCTGCCCTCCCTCTCCCTCCCTCCATCCCTAATCCCCCCTCCCCCTTCCCCCTCCCTCCCTCCCACCTCCCTCTACCCGCCCCTCCCCCCCTCCCCCCCGAGAGGCCGTGCCATTCGCGGGCGGCTACGGCCCTCGCGGCGGCGACCCCCCCCCACTCGGGCCCGACGGCGCGCCAAACGGAGCGCTCTGCCACCTCGCAGGCGCTGGCGGGCGCGGGCCTCGCGGGCGGCCGCCGGGCGGCCGCGGGGGCGGCATCGCCGCGCTGGAGGCGCAGGCCCGCGGGCTGCACGCCAGCGCCGTTGGACCCCCTCCGGACGGCGCCACCGAGCCCCCCCCAATCTTTGTGGAGGACGATCAATGGAGAGGAAGCATGCTGCCAAGTAATTTCCAGATATCTAAAACATGTGTTAAACATATTTTAAACATGGAAAACAAAATGTTGAGAGCATGTTTAGAACATTTTTCTGGTTTTTTTTTTTACCTATTTCAAATTCCATGATAGGACTGTTGGGATGTCCATTGTCGTGGCATCCACAACGTTGGACCCCCTCCGGACGGCGCCAGAGCCCCCCCCAAGCTCATGGGGTGGCCGCCGCTGCGGCGGCCCTCGGCCACGGGTGGCACGCACCTCTCTCGTGAGGCCCGCGGTGGCACCCACCGGCACCCCACGCCGCGACTCGCCGACCCGCCCGCGAGGCCCCCCCGGCCCGCCTGGAGGGCCCTCGGCCGAGGCGCGGAGCTCGCCACACTGCCCCCGGGCTCCTCGCTGCCGCGCTCGCTCCGCTCCCTGTGCGCGGCAGCCCCGCGCTTCTCTGCGCCGCCGGCGCGCTCCTGGCCCGCACCCCATCGGGGCTGCGCGGGCGCTGCCTCGGCACTCCGTGGGCGGGGGCCCCACCAGAGAAGCCCGGCGGCTCCGCGCCGCGGCGCCCGCCTTGGTGAGTGATCCGGACGCCGGCGCCGCGAGCAGTTCCCGGGCGCACACTCCTGGAGGGTCGGTACAGTCGGGGCGCTGCAGCGGGCAACCTTTATTTGCAGTTCGCCTCAGGTTTTTCTCCGCTTCTTCGATGCGGAATCGAAGTTCAACTTCTGGAACTTGGGTCAACGCCCCGACTGTAGCCCCCCCCCCTCCCCAGCTGCGCTCCGCCTCTCGGCCCGTCAGCCGCGCAGTCCGCTCTCCGGACGGTGCCGCCCGTCGTCGCACGGGCGGTCGAGAGTTTGCGCTCCCCCGGGGGCAGGGGAGCTGCGGGCTCCCCCGCGGGCAGCCCGGCCTCATAGCGCGGGGGGCGCGCGGCAGGCGAGCACCGCCGGCGCCCGGGGGCGGGCATCCGCCCAGATCGTGCCGCCTCCCTCGCCCCCGCCCCCCCGCTCCCCCCTCTCCCCCCCCCTTCCTTCCTCCACTCCCCTCCCCTCCCCTCTCCTCTCCATGCCCCCCTCCTCCCCCCATCACTCGTTCCCCCCATCCCTCCCCCACCCCTCTCTTCCCTCCACCCCTCGCCTCGCCTCCCCCCGCCTCCTGCGCCCCTCTCCCTCCTCCCGCCTCCTCCCGTCGCCCTGCTCGTCACTCCACCCGGCCCCTCCCCGCGCGTCTGACAGGCTGCCGTCTACAGCAACAAGAGAATCAAGATAGCGGACGCCGTTTTCACCCGGGTGGTCGACGTGGACCTCCAGTGGGGGGGAGCTGGGAGCAGGAGGATGTATGAGAATGAGGAGGGGAAGAAGAAGGTCACCACCCACCAAACCACCCCAACCCAACCCGAAGGCGCAGATTTACCCTCGATTTCCAGTGGGGGGGGGTCGGGAAACATCGAAAAAACACATGTGGAACCCTTACCCCCCCCAACCCGAAATTCGGGTCTTCGGGTTGGGTTGGGGTGGTCTGGTAGGTAGTCAGAAGGAGGAGCACGGAGGAGGAGGGGGAGCAGGAGGGAGCTTCAAGCCAGCCGGGTCGCGCGAGTCAGCGGGCCCCGTGCAGCGGCACAACTCGATCGTGGGATTCGAGCGCGTCCCCACCTGATCAGCGAACGAGCGCTCGTGTGCGCCGTCCCGCTTCAGACGACCCACCAAACCACCCCAACCCAACCCGAAGGCCCAAATTTATCCTCGATTTCCAGTGGGGGGGGGTCGGGGAACATTGAAAAAACACATGGAACCCGTACCCCCCCCCCCCAACCCGAAATTCGGGTCAAATTCGGGTCTTCGGGTTGGGTTGGGGTGGTCTGGTAGGTAGTCAGCTTCAGACGACCTGGCGAGGGGACAAAAACAAGGGGCCGCGCCGGAGCGCGAGCGGCAAAGCTGCGGAGGAGCGCGCCGACAGAAAACGAAGCGCGGCGCGCACCGCGCCGAAGAGCAGCACCGCCGCTCTCGCGCACGCGCTGCGCGGCGCTCGGACGGGGGCCGCACTTTGCCCGCTCTCCCCCCCGTCGTGCCGGGCGTTGGGGCGACGGCGACGAGGCGCCCGCTCGCGCGGGGCCCAAACATCCGGCGAGCGGAGACCATACGCGCCGGGGCGGGAGCGCCACTTCCGTGCGGGCTCTCCGCGGCGCCCGAGGCCAGAACGACGCGCTCGTCCTCTTCCGCGCGTCGGCGACCCGGCGCGCGCAGCGGGCGCGCCGCGCCCCAGGCGAGAACTCGGTCCTCTGGAAAATGTAGGCGCGGCGCCGAGGCGCGAGCGACATTCCGCCCTCTCGCGCGGGACGCGCGCCCCGCCCCGCTCCTGCGGCTCAGTTTGCGACGTGGGCTACGGAGCGTCAAGGTTGATCGCAAAAACATAGACTCTGCACGTTTTCGGCAGGTGGGGATTGGCCCCCTGGATTGGCCAACCATCGGCAGGCTAGGGGGCAAAGAAGGAGTATATACTAATCAGGAGTCATGGTGATGAGGGAGTGGGGGCCACGGAGCAAGAGAAGGCGGCGGCGGAGGAGGATGGTAAGGAGGAAGAGTAAGTAGAGGAGGAATATGGGTGAAGATGATAATGAAGGGAGGAATTATGAGGAGGAGGAGGAGAAGGTGGAGGAGGAGGAGGCGGAGTACGAGCAGGAGAAGCAGGCAATAGGGGGAGAATGAGGCCTTGCGTTGCGTGCGCCATCACTTTGGAAACGATGTGGCCGCGATTTTATCAACTTGCCAACGGGTCAGCTTGACTACGAGGTGTCTCCGCCTTCCTGTGAAAAGGCCCGTGGTGTTCCCGAAGAGAGAGAGCCCCTGCTTTCGTCCCCACCCGAGGGAGCTCCGTTTCCGCCCCTTCGGCCGACATTGCCACTTGGGACCCATAACGTGCGCTCGCACTGGGAATGCGATCGGTGGCAGGGATTTCTCCAAGCGCCGCTGGGGTATGTCTCGATATGTTCGCGCACCACCGTGAGGGGGTGGTCGACCTTGGGGCATCATCTCGAGGGCGCTGCAGGATGTTGTGAGCAGACAGGGCGGCGAGCGCGTGCTGACTGAGCGGGATTGGGCAAGGCAGCAGCGCAGGTGGGCGGAGTGGAGGTGCGAAAGCGGCGGGGAATTCAAGACTGCCCTGAACAACGACATCTTCCTGGCCGTGTGGAGAAAGGCGCCCCGCGGGGCGCGGCGCGAAGCGCCCCGAGGGCGGTCAGCGCAGCACGTGTGCGCTCGCGTGCCCGAGCAGGCCCGATGTGCAGCCTCGGAGTGCTCGCGAGCAGCAGCGCGATTGCGCGGGTCCGCGTGGCAAGGCCCAGTGCGCCTGTACTCCCTCGGAGGGGCGAGGGTGCCCGCAGGCGCACCTTCGGCACGCGCCGCTGCGCGCCAGCTGTAGTGCGCAGCGTCCTGGCGGCAGTGCGGATGCTGTGCGAGAGTCGCCTCCTTGCGGGGAGCTGCCGTGGAGGGGGTCTCAGTCTGCAGTCGGGTTGTCGTTGACGTTCGAGGGGCACGCAGATTTGGCGGGTCATGTGCCAGGTCTTGTTGCTGGCTCCGATGCCACAGCAAAGCACACAGCACGAGCAGACACCGAAAATGTCGGAGGCCCGCACCGATTTTTTGTTGGTCTGCGCCGGATCCTCCTCGCCGCAATCCTGGCGGCGCCTCCGCCGCTGTCCAAGGCACGCTCCGCGCGTCGGGGCATAGGTTTTTTGGGGGGGTCTGGCGCCAGTCTCAGAAGTTTCGCGCGCACCTCTGAGGGTTCATGTCTGTGTCTTGTTGAGTTCTCTGCGGCTGGCGTCACGCGGGTCGGTACAGCTTCGGTTTTGTCGCGGTGTGGCCCCAGGTGATCGACGATGGGGATTACCTCCGCCACAACTGGACTGTCAAGGCTGGCGGTCAGCCCTATCACTGCTTTCCCTTGCGCCTCGAGGCACCATGCAGGTTCGCTGCCCTTCTCTCTTGGTTGTTTCTCCTCCTCCTCCTCCTCCGCCTCCTTGGTCTACTCCTCCTCTTCCTCCTCCTCCTCCTCCTCCTCCTCGGCCTACTCCCCATTCTCTCCCCCCGTGCTCATCCTGCTCCTCTTGCTGCTGCTGCTCCTCCTCGTCCTGCCTGTCCTCGTCTGGCCCCCCTCGCCATTCCTCTCCGCCCTTCTCCCCCTCCGACTCCGCTTCGCCGTCCTCGTCGTCCTCTTGCTGATCCTCATGCTCGTCTCGACCAGTGTCATCCTTCTGATCGGTGCCCTCCGCGCGCCAGGGAGGGGAGCCCCGCGCCGATCCAGTGGACCTCCCACAGTTTCTGCTTACATCTCTCTCTCTCTCTCTGATCCACGCCTCGGAAGAAATTGGCGAACACGCATGCCACACCAAATCCGTCAGTGCCCCCCCCCAAGGATGAGAGTTGGCGGTGGGCTGAATGAGTTGCACTCAGACCGCAGTTTCCCCCGCGCGTGCCAGGTGTGATTTGGGGGGCGTGGGGAGGCGAGCCCACTGATCGTTTAACCCTCCGCCCTCGCGCGCGTCGCGCTTGGCCTCCGCGAGAGGGGGCCCGAGCCGGCTGCGCGGGCCCGGGCAGGCGGCCCTCCGGGAGCTGCGCCCCCCTGCGGGGCCGCCGGGGCCCCCCCTCCTCCGGCCCGGGGCGGGCGAGGCCACGGGCGCTGCGCGGCGACTCGCTCCGCTCGCTCCGCTCTTCGCGCCCGCCCCACGCCCGCGCCCGCTCTCTGCGCCGCGGCTCCCGCGCCGCCCGCGCAGGCTGCAGCGGCCGGGGCGACAAACAAATCTAGGCGTTTGCGTGCCAGTGGATTTTCTTTTGCGGAGTTGGGCGCCCTGGCGCGGACGGCCGAACGACCCCTGCAGCGGGACACCCTGGCCACGCGGTCGCCGCCGCAAAAATTGCCCGTTCAACGCTGGCGCCGCGCAAAGGCGGGGGGTCTGTGGCCCAGCACTGGCGCGGACCAGCGGGACGGGCGGGCAGGCTCGAGGCGCCGGGCTCGGGAAGGGCTCTCTGCCTGCTTCGGCCTCCAGGGGCCGCCTTCGGGCCCCTTGGGCCGTCGAAGTCGGGCCCGGAGTGGGAAGCTGCACCGGGTGGACCCCGGGAAGGGTCCGGGGGCCGACTTTGGGGCGGATCTGGTTCGTGCCCCTCGCCTGCTCGATCCCCCTGGCCGCCTCCAAACGTGGAAGCCTGTGCGCTGGCGCACGCGCACAGCATCTTCACTGTCTGAGCGTGCTCCGCCGCCCGCGGCGTCCGCCCCCTCCCCGCGCTCATTCCTTCCTTCCCGTGTGTCCGAGTCGGCTCCGATGCATCCCCTCGGCTGTCTCTGCCGCTTCTGCGACTCAGGCTGCCGCTGGTTAGAAATGCATGGCGCTCCCAGTCTGCCGTCCCGCGCCCGCTCTCGTGCCCTCGTGCCGCCCCCTCTCGAGGGCCTGGATGGGGTGGGGCGCACACCGGTTGCTCCTGTGTCGCCCTGGGCGGCCTGAAGTTCGAGGGTGCATGGTTTAGTTCTCCTGGCCGTCTGCAGCCGCCCCCTGGCCAGGAGCATTCAGAAGTGAGCAGAACTACAAGCGAACGACATGAATGAGTCCAACGCGGACCCCAAACAGTACATAGTGCAATCACTGCGGCGCGCTGCAAGGACATGCTAAGCAATGCTAAGCAATGCGACGCAAGCGGTGCAATGCAAAGCAAACCATGCTAAGCAAAGCAACCCTGTACAAAGTCATGCACGGCGGTGCAAGGCAATGCAAGTCGGTGCGAAGCGGAGCAATCCACGGCGCAACACACGGGCGCAATGCATGGCTATTGAAAGGCTGCGCCACCCATGGGCGCAACCCACGGCCCCCAACTATGGCGCAACCCATGTGCGCGACCTGTTGTACGGCCACGAAGAATGGGCGCAAGTTCTAGCCATAACCCACGGCGCAGCCGCTGAGCGACACGTCTGGCCAAGAAAAGCTTTCGCCACACGTGGGCGCAAGCTGTGGCCCTGACCCTCGGCACATTCCATGGGTGTAACCTGGCGTATGGCCACAAAACTCTGCGTCATCCATGGCCACAGCACATCGTGCAACCGACGGGACAATTTACTGCCATGGACAATTTCCGTCACGCATGGCTCGAACTGAGGTCGCAGTCCATGGCGCAATTTGCGGGTGCAAGAGAGGTCCACGAGAAGTTTGCGCCACGTCATAACAAGTTCCTTGGACACCTGGCAAGGAACCGAAAGTGCAAGCATGGCTCGGAAACGTGCATGGCCGCGGTGAGTTGAGGGATTGTGCAAGGCCGCCGTCATCCTGCTCCACGGCGCGGGGGACCCAGGTCTATGGATGCACACCCAGTTTCGCATGCAAGTCCCAGATTCTAGGCCCTAAGTGGCAGCTTCTACACTTCTACTTGCAAGTTCGGGGCCGATGTTGGCAGATTCTGGGCCCCACGTGGCGAGTTCCATATCCAGGACACTTCCGAAGAAAGGGAGGGAGAGGGGGAAGGGTAGGGGGAGGTTCCAGATCAACTGCAGAGCGGCGTTCTAGTAGACGACTCACATATGCCAATGCTAGCTGCGTGTCCGCGCTATGCCGAAGTCTATCTGTCTTGTACTGGGCCTGTGTTGTCAGTTCTTCTCTGGATCACCCGCCATCGACTGAGCGCCTGCCAGGTTGACCCCGACACGGTCTTCTTGCCATGGTGATTGTTTTTGAGAGCGCATTCGCTGGAGCCAGGGTGGAGGAGATGGTGGAGGCTGGAAGAGAGAATGTAGACGCCCCTGTAGGAAGTCGGATGGCGCGCACGCGCTCGCACACATGTTTTCGGTTGTGAGCAGCTGGGGCGGAAGCCGCTCGAGCGCTCCAGGGAGTCAAACTCAGGCTAAGCTAGCAAGGTTCGACCCTGGAAAGCACACACACACACACGCACGCAGGCACACACACACACACACACTTACAAATTAACTCAATGACAATCGCAGGGCATAGAGGTTCCCTCAGAAACACCACAGCTTGTTTCCATGTTACACTGATCGGTGGACAAGGTGCACATCGTTTTCCCACTCAGGTATAGACCTGTATTGGCAGCACGCGTGCACGACGCATCAGCAGAGAACGAGGATGGCAGGATGGAAGGGAGGGAGGAGCGGAGGTGAGCGGGAGGAGCGGCAAAGTGAGCGGCTGGAGAGGGAGGAGGAGGAGGAGGAGGAGGAGGAGGAGGAGGAGGAGGAGGAGGAGGAGGAGGAGGAGGAGGAAGGGAGGAGGAGGGAGGAGGGAGGGAGGAGGGAGGGAGGGAGGGAGGGAGGGAGGGAGGGAGGGAGGGAGGGAGCAAACCTGAGATGTATCAGCGCTGCTGCTGTCATCATCCCGCTTCCAGTAATGACCCCCCGCAGAGGTCCCACGAGAGAAGCGCCACGTGACCTCGACAGACGCGCGCACCTCCGCGGGCCTGCCCTCTCGGGCGTGAGGGCACGGCTGTGAACGAGAATCCTTCTGCGCCATGCTGGCGGCTCGCACACACATGGGGGGCGCGTGCCAAGAAGCAGGATGTTTTCCGTCAGGGCATCTTAGGTTCCTTCGCTCCGCGCGGCCCGCGATGCTTTCCCGCGGGCGTCAAAGAACTCTCGCGTTCAGGAGGCCCTGTGCTTTCTCCCCATTCCACCTCGCGGAAGCAACGCCCCGCCACCGAAGAAACCTCGCTGCGCCGAAAGTATCTGGAATTTCTTGCGTCCGTGCGAAATCGGAGGGCCAAGGAATGCGCCACATGTTTGGGCTTTGATGGTCGAGCTGCCTGCGGACGTCCGAGGCGAGAGAGCCCCATCTTGAAAAAACGAGTCCGCCCTTCATTCGTGCAACCGTCTCAGCATTTCAAAACAGTGCAGTTCCACTGTTCGTGTTGGGCGAGAGCTCCTTTACAAATTCTACATGTGCAGTTCCATTGTTCGTATTCGGCGAGAGCTCCAGCTTGGAATCGAGTCGGCCTTCACCATGTAACTCTTGCACAAGTGCACACTTCTTGTCATGCGCGTGAAGGGAGCATCCAGCGACCTCCCCACAGTTGAAAACGAGCCGGCCTCCAGCCGTGTAGTTGTCGCAAGGTTTGAAGACGCACGTGCGCGACGCTGAGGCGCGAGCTGCATGTTGAGAAACCCCCGGCATCCATCCGTGCGACTGGAAGTTGTTGTTGTCGAGTCGAATGTGTACGGGGCGAGGGCGAGGGCCGTGTTTTGGAAAGGAACCTCCTCTCCAGTCCTGTAGCTGGTGGAACTTTGAAGCTTCGTGGCAGTGAGGCGCAAGGAGGTGTCAAACGAACCGCCCGGCCCAGCCTACGGACACGTCTGTTGGTGCGAGAACGGGTAGCTTTGTGTGAGGAGGAGGAGAAGATTTGGGAGATGATGATGATGATGAGGAGGAGGAGGAGGAGGAGAGGAGGAGGAGGAGCAGCAGCAGCAGCAGCAGCAGAAGGAGCAGCGCGAGGAGCGGTAGGAAGGAGCACGAGGAGGAGGAGGAGGAGGAGGAGGAGGAGGAGGAGGAGAAGTAGGACGGGGAGGAGGAGGATTGGGATTGGCTGGTTGGCGGGAGGGAGGGAAGCAGGGAATGGCAGAGATGAGGAGGGGATGAGGGGAGATGGGGAAGAATAGGAGGATCTAGATCACCAGGGGAAGGAGGATGAGGAGGACTTCCGTTCTGCAGGGGGCGACGGGCGAAATTGCAGCCAGGCTGGCGCTGTCGCCCTGTATCCAATAGAAAGTCATACGTAATATTATGGGTCCCATGCGCTCCCTCTACTCCCGACTTCTCCCTTCCCCTCATGCCCCCCGAGTCCCCCTGCCTCCATCCCCCTCGCTCGCAGCCCCACCTTCTGTCTTCCTTGGTCTTATCGGTTACAATATCCCCCCTGCCTCCTACCCAGTTTCGAATCCTCCACAATCCTCGTCGGTTTCCTTGCTGGTTCCCTTGCGGGTACGGGTGCCCTTCCTGGTGCCCTGGCTTGTGTAAAGTGGAGACGCATGCCAAGAAACACTTTGCTTGCTTCCAGGGTGCCCTGGGTTTCTTGGAGTTCGATTGTTTTGTTATGGGAAGCGTGACGTTCCCACACCAAAACCAATGGACGTCCTGGGGTCTAGGGCCTAGGGTTGGGGTTCTTTGGAAGGTTTCTTGTGGTCGAGCTCCTACTGTACTGCTCGGCATCGCGCCGACCGTCTTGTCACGAGTGCTACAGCATTTTGGCAGGGGGTACCTGGAGGGAAAGCACATGGAGGAGAGCTGAGGCCTTCTCAAAGTTTTTGCGATGTCCAGATACGTCAGGGAGGTCAACGAGAAACATCCAGTATCGACGAACACCTCAGAAATGGTGTCGAACTACCGACTCTTGAGTTTGATGTTGCCCTGGGGATTTGGGCTTGCCCCGCCTTGAGATGTCAGAATCCTGGTCCCAATTCTGATTACTGGGAGCTCAAGTCTTCTCGATCTCCTCGGCACTGGGCATCTGTCCTCCTTTCAACTATCCAGTTCGATTGCGTTCAGTCTTCTCCACCACATCGCCTCTTTCTCCCCTTCCTCCTCCTCCTCCTCCTCGTGTTCCTCCTCCTCGTCCTCCTCATCATCACCCTTCCCTCCCCCATTTCCATCCAGCTTCTCCGGCTGATATATTTTCTTCCGCCTTGTTAGTCTTCACAGCTGTTACGACTCGTAGTCTTTTATCATTATGTTGTTGCTTTCCTCTATTTTCTCCTCCGCCTCCTCCTCCGCCTCCTCCTCGTCCTCCTCCTCCTCCTCCCGTCACCGACCCTCCCCACGATCCTCATCCCTCTCGTCTCCTCCCCTCCTCTTCCCTCCCCTTCCCTCGTTCCCCCCTCTCGCCCCTCCACTCTTGCCCCCCGTGCCTCTCCCCGCCCCTCTCCGTTCCTCCCCTCCCTGCCCGCCCTTCCAGCTGCTCGCCTACCCTCGCGCAGCCACTTCCCTCTCCCCCCCTTCCTCCCGCCCCCTTTCCCGTCGCGGTGGCGGCCTGTCTCTGCATGGGAGCAGTAACAGCAGGAGGAGGATGAGGAACGAGGAGGAGGAGGAGGAGGAAGAGGAGGATGAGGAGGAGGAAGGGGAGGAGGAGGAGGAGGAGGAGGAGGCAGGAGGAGGAGGAACCAGGACGAGGAGGAGGAGGAGGAGGAGGAGGAGGAGGAGGGGAGGAGGAGGGAGAGGAGGAGGAGGAGGAGGAGGAGGAGGAGGAGGAGGAGGAGGAGGAGGAGGATTCGTGAACGGCACGTGCGGGTGCACGCTGATATTTCAGATCCTCTCCCTGACATGCCTCCCGATCTTCAGACTTTGATTCCTTACTCCCCATTGAGCCCTACGATCCTGGCCTCCACATGGCGCGCGACCATGTGGGACACAATTGATACCGTCAAGTGGCCCTCAAGGCCATGTGCTGCCCATACCTTGATGGCTGTCGGCGCCGGGAGGCTTGATTCACCCCCAGTTGGCTGCCCTGGGCGTGGGGGTGCCTGCATTGAGGAGGGGGAGTGGGGGGAGCAGCAGCAGCAGCAGGAGGCGGGGAAATTGTGCGGGACCCCGCCTGGGATCATCTGAGGATGCCCCCACGGACGACGGGAGGAGCA